TCATTACTTGCTCTCTTTCTCCCTCATCCTCCGCCTCTGTTGCAATACGAACTTATGTTCTCTTGTTCTCCCCGTTGCTCACACCAAGGAATACTTCCTGTCTTTCTCTCTCTCTGTCTCTCTCTGTCTCTCTCTGTCTCTCTCTCTCTCTCTCTCTCTCTCTCTCTCTCTCTCTCTCTCTCTCTCTCTCTCTCTCTCTCTCTCTCTCTCTCTCTCTCTCCTCTCTCTCTCTCTTTCATGGAGTGTCTTCAGTCTTTCTTCGTAATGTATATTTCTTTTAATTCTGGAGGATTTTATGTACCATATTTCTTTTTTTTTATATTTTAAATATTTTTTTGAGGGGGGAAGAGGTCACGAAAGTTGAATAGTTTAGTTTTGGGTAAATATGTGCCATGTAAAGTTGTTGTTTTTTCCAGAATTACTGAATACATTCAAGCTTTCCCATAACACAGGAAGCGTGTGTGTGTGTGTGTGTGTGTGTGTGTGTGTGTGTGTGTGTGTATGTGTGTGTGTGTGTGTGTGTGTGTGTGTGTGTGTGTGTGTGTGTGTGTGTGTGTGTGTGTGTGTATGTGTGTGTACTCACCTAGTTGAGGTTGCAGGGGTCGAGTCCGAGCTCCTGGCCCCGCCTCTTCACTGATCGCTACTAGGTCACTCTCCCTGAGCCGTGAGCTTTATCATACCTCTGCTTAAAGCTATGTATGGATCCTGCCTCCACTACATCACTTCCCAAACTATTCCACTTACTGACTACTCTGTGGCTGAAGAAATACTTCCTAACATCCCTGTGATTCATCTGTGTCTTCAGCTTCCAACTGTGTCCCCTTGTTACTGTGTCCAATCTCTGGAACATCCTGTCTTTGTCCACCTTGTCAATTCCTCTCAGTATTTTGTATGTCGTTATCATGTCCCTCCTATCTCTCCTGTCCTCCAGTGTCGTCAGGTTGATTTCCCTTAACCTCTCCTCGTAGGACATACCTCTTAGCTCTGGGACTAGTCTTGTTGCAAACCTTTGCACTTTCTCTAGTTTCTTTACGTGCTTGGCTAGGTGTGGGTTCCAAACTGGTGCCGCATACTCCAATATGGGCCTAACGTACACGGTGTACAGGGTCCTGAATGATTCCTTATTAAGATGTCGGAATGCTGTTCTGAGGTTTGCTAGGCGCCCATATGCTGCAGCAGTTATTTGGTTGATGTGCGCTTCAGGAGATGTGCCTGGTGTTATACTCACCCCAAGATCTTTTTCCTTGAGTGAGGTTTGTAGTCTCTGGCCCCTAGACTGTACTCCGTCTGCGGTCTTCTTTGCCCTTCCCCAATCTTCATGACTTTGCACTTGGTGGGGTTGAACTCCAGGAGCCAGTTGCTGGACCAGCCTGTCCAGATCCCTTTGTAGTTCTGCCTGGTCTTCGATCGAGTGAATTCTTCTCATCAACTTCACGTCATCTGCAAACAGGGATACCTCAGAGTCTATTCCTTCCGTCATGTCGTTCACAAATACCAGAAACAGCACTGGTCCTAGGACTGACCCCTGTGGGACCCCGCTGGTCACAGGTGCCCACTCTGACACCTCGCCACGTACCATGACTCGCTGCTGTCTTCCTGTCAAGTATTCCCTGATCCATTGTAGTGCCTTCCCTGTTATCCCTGCTTGGTCCTCCAGTTTTTGCACTAATCTCTTGTGTGGAACTGTGTCAAACGCCTTCTTGCAGTCCAAGAAAATGCAATCCACCCACCCCTCTCTCTCTTGTCTTACTGCTGTCACCATGTCATAGAACTCCAGTAGGTTTGTGACACAGGATTTCCCGTCCCTGAAACCATGTTGGCTGCTGTTGATGAGATCATTCCTTTCTAGGTGTTCCACCACTTTTCTGATAATCTTCTCCATGATTTTGCATACTATACATGTCAGTGACACTGGTCTGTAGTTTAATGCTTCATGTCTGTCTCCTTTTTTAAAGATTGGGACTACATTTGCTGTCTTCCATGCCTCAGGCAATCTCCCTGTTTCGATAGATGTATTGAATATTGTTGTTAGGGGTACACATAGCGCCTCTGCTCCCTCTCTCAATACCCATGGGGAGATGTTATCTGGCCCCACTGCCTTTGAGGTATCTAGCTCACTCAGAAGCCTCTTCACTTCTTCCTCGGTTGCGTGCACTGTGTCCAGCACATGGTGGTGTGCCCCACCTCTCCGTCTTTCTGGAGTCCCTTCTGTCTCTTCTGTGAACACTTCTTTGAATCTCTTGTTGAGTTCCTCACATACTTCACGGTTATGTGTATGCGTGTATGTGTGTGTTTGTGTGTGTGTGTGTGTGTATGTTTGTGTGTGTGTGTGTGTGTGTGTGTGTGTGTGTGTGTGTGTGTGTGTGTGTGTGTGTGTGTGTGTGTGTGTGTGTGTGTGTGTGTGTGTGTGTGTGCGTGTGAGGCTTACATCAGCACCTACACCAGCAACTGGTACTGTCCATCAACTTCGCTAAATTCTTCATACGCTGAGAATCACAATGTTTAACCTCTGCTTTTTTTTTAACCTCCAGTAAATTGCACCGTTGTTGTTCCTTTCCTGACCCTCAGCCACGACTTGTAGTAATCCCGTTCAGGATGTAACAGGAAGTGTCATCACTGCCTGCAGGAGTCTGTATTGCTTGACCGTTAGCGTCTGTCTCCTGGTTGTGGGTATCTGAAGCCGTTTTTTGTAGACGACTGTGTCTCCTGGTTGTGGGTATCTGAAGCCGCTTTTTGTAGACGACTGTGTCTCCTGGTTGTGGGTATCTGAAGCCGCTTGTTGTAGACGACTGTGTCTCCTGGTTGTGGGTATCTGAAGCCGCTTGTTGAAGACGACTGTGTCTCCTGGTTGTGGGTGTTTGAAGCCTCTGGTTGTAGACGACTGTGTCTCCTGGTCGTGAGTATCTGAAGCCTCTGGTTGCAGACGACTGTGTCTCCAAGTTGTGGGTATCTAAAATCTCTGGTTGTAGACGACTGTGTCTCCTGGTTGTGGTTGTTTGAAGCCTCTGGTTGTAGACGACTGCGCCTCCTAGTTGTGGGTATCTGAAGCCTGTTGTTGTAGACGACTGTGTCTCCTGGTTGTAGGTATTTGAAGCCTCTGGTTGTAGACGACTGTGTCTTCTAGTTGTGGGTATCTGAAACCTCTGGTTGTAGACGACTGTGTCTCCTAGTTGTGGGTATCTGAAACCTCTGGTTGTAGATGACTGTGTCTCCTAGTTGTGGGTATCTGAAACCTCTGGTTGTAGACGACTGTGTCTCCTAGTTGTGGGTATCTGAAACCTCTGGTTGTAGACGACTGTGTCTCCTAGTTGTGGGTATCTAAAGCCTCTGGTTGTAGACGACTGTGTCTCCTGGTTGTGGTTGTTTGAAGCCTCTGGTTGTAGACGACTGTGTCTCCTGGTTATGGGTGTCTGAAGCCTCTTGTTGCAGACGACTGTGTCTCCTGGTTGTGAGCATCTGAAGCCTCTTGTTGTAGACGACTGTGTCTCCTGGTTGTAGGTATTTGAAGCCTCTGGTTGTAGACGACTGTGTCTTCTGGTTGTGGGTATCTGAAGCCTCTTGTTGTAGACGACTCTGTCTCCTGGTTGTGGGTATCTGAAACCTCTTGTTGTAGACGACTGTGTCTCCTAGTTGTGAGCATCTGACGCCTCTTGTTGTAGACGACTGTGTCTAATGGTTGTGGTTGTTTGAAGCCTCTCGTTGTAGACGACTGTGCCTCCTGGTTGTGGGTATCTGAAGCCTCTTGTTGTAGACGACTCTGTCTCCTGGTTGTGGGTATCTGAGGCCTCTGGTTGTAGACGACTGTGTCTCTTGGTTGTGGGTATCTGAAGTCTCTTGTAGACGACTGTGTCTCCTAGTTGTGGGTATCTGAAGCCTCTTGTTGTAGACGACTGTGTCTCCTGGTTGTGAGTATCTGAAGCCTCTGGTTGTAGACGACTGTGTCTTTTAGTTGTGGGTATCTGAAACCACTTGTTGTAGACGACTGTGTCTCCTGGTTGTGGGTATCTGAAGCGTCTGGTTGTAAAAGATAACTGTAACTCCTAACTCCCGTTTATGTGTGTCTGAAACAACTGGTTGTAAACGTCTGTAACTAATGGCTGGTTGTAAACATCTGTAGCTAATGACTGGTTGTATACGTCTGTAAACTCTGTCTTAAGGCGTCTAATTCTAGGCGACCTTTCGCAGCTTTGGTCTCCAAGGCGTCTAGTAATTTTGGGTGATGTGCTGAGTTCTTGAAATCTTTCCCTCCCCTGTGGATCAATTCCACAATGCAGTTCGACCTTTGGAAGGTGGGAAAGGTACGGGATGGTTAGGATGGTGATAATGGGGAATGGTGAAGAGCCGTGAGGATGGTGAATGTTGAGTGTAGGTGAGGACGGTGAACGGTGAGGAAGTTTGAATATAGTGAATATTAAGGGTTGGAGAATGTCAAGGGAAGGTGAATGTTGGAATAGTGAATGTTGAGGGATGATGAGAATGATGAGGGAAATTTTTTTTTTTTAGCCATTGAATTTATAGACTAAGAACAGCTATTCTACCTCACTTCTGTTATCCTACTGCAGCTCATACACAGCTGTTATACTTGCTCAACCTATTTCAAAACTTAACACTATCTGAAGAATAATACTATTCCGCTTCCAGGATGTCACACACTTAGAAACAACAAGTGACTCCTCCCGCCCGGGATCGAGCCCAGGTTTTTCGGTTGTGAGTTTAAAGCGCTGCCACTGTGCTACGAGCCGGGTATAGCCAGGAAATGCCGAAAAGAAATACGGATGAATGTCTCATAAAATATTCACAGCCATGTCTCGCCTTCCTCTCTCTATCTTTCTTTCTTTCTTTCTCTCTCTCTCTCTCTCTCTCTCTCTCTCTCTCTCTCTCTCTCTCGGGGTCAACACCGGCAGGACTCAGGTTACATCAAGCACAGGGTGTACCAGGGGCCTACGACTCACCTCTCAGCTTCAGGTATGCGCCAGGGTCGACCTTGACTGGCCCTAGCGGCCAGGGATCCCGTGAAAGGTTGCCTCTCTGCCAGCCTGGCTGTATATAAGCAGCGTCCTGAGTTCTCAGGATGCATCTAGCTCTCTACCCAGCTTCACATCACAGCCAACATGAAGTTCGTAAGTACTCCCTTTCACCAATACCCAAAACTTTGACTTCAAGCAAAGTATAAATCCCTCCTTGTCTATTGTTATTATAACACCCTAGTGAATAAAACTAGAAGGTATTCATAAATATTTGGGTATCATTTATTACTGGACAGTATTTTTCACTAAGTAAATCACCAGGAGCAATTTCTTCCGGCAGATTGCCACTTTTGCTGAGGAAAACGTGTAGTTCTCTGCTTGCAAAAGCATAGTTCACACACAAACCCAAAAATACGTTGAATAACGACTGATTGAACTCCTAAGACGTTACAATAGAAAGTAGTGTACACTCTCCATGCTGCTTTGTGCATCAGCGAAGGTGTTAGCAAAGACGTCAGCCGAGTCGCACCTTGTTCTTGCATTTAGTGATTCAACGTTATCTTAGCTGTGCTTAACGTCAACAAGAAAAGACAGTAACTTTGAGACAGTTCATCTTAAGACAGTTCCAATCCCATTACTTTCTCCTCTTCAGGGGTCGTAACTCTTCCTAAAACTGTTTATCGTAGGGTAAATAAACTTTTTTTTTCTACTTTGGGGATCCTTCAGAAGGGAAGGTTGGGGGACGGGTGGAGTCTTTGATGCTGGTGAAGGGCTTATGATTCAAGGATCCGGAGCTATTTTCTCCATGTATCAAATCTAGTTTCTTCAAAATTTCCCAGGGACTGTAAAACCCCTACGATATTAGCATTCCCCAATGCTGTAAGTATAATAATAAATAATAAAAAATAATAAAAATTTAATAAAAATTTAATAATAATAATAAAAAATAATAATAATAATAAATAATAGTAATAATGACAATAAAAAACAACAACAACAATAATAATAATAATAATAATAATAATAATAATAAAATAATAATAATAATAATAATTATTATTATTATTATTATTATTTTTAAATTATTATTATTTTATTATTATTATTATTATTATTTTTTTATTATTATTGAATATTAGTGACTCTAAGAGGGATTATTTTATGCTAAAATTAAATTAAACTATTATCAGTTGTGTAAATTTCTTTCTCACATTGCTGGTGGCGGCGACTCAGATTTGAAAGACAATTTACCTCTTGTTAATAAAAAAAATTATGTAATGGGCGGCCGTTGTTTACAGGTCATCTTCGCGTGCTTGGCCGCCGTCGCCGCCGCTGCTCCTCAGCTGGGCCAGAAACCCGAACTTGCGGAGATTCTCAGAGACGATCGCGAAGATGCTGGCGACGGAAACTTCAAATACGACTTCGAAACCTCCAACGGCATCAAACAGAGCGTGACAGGATACCCTGGATCAGAGGGTCAGAGCAACATGCAAGGCTCCTTCAGGTAAATCACCTCCTGCAGCCACCTGTGTTCTGTGGCTGGCGATTACTGTGGCTGGCATATTCTGTGGATCGCTTTTTACTGTAAGCCTATAGGGTAGCCTAAAATAACGCCTAAAATTTGCTGAACATCCCCCAATGTTGCCTGTTTCTAAGATTATCCATTCACGGATTTATGTTTGTCTCTTTTTCAATAAGGTTGTGATTGAAATATAATTGAAATATAATCTAATTAGTTCATTATTGTTCGTGAAGATTGAGTCTAATGAGCATTTTAAACTTCTAAGGCAGTAGTGAACGTGGTGATGTCCATCCTTGGTAGATGCTCAATTCTGTGAATTAACTTTTAAGAACAGATTCAGATCAGCTTATGCTTTCTAAATGAGCCTTCAGAGGCATCTCGAAAAGCTGTGTTAGAGGCAACAATGCCTTAATGACTACCAGAATGTGGTAGCGGCCATAGTAGAAAATTATAATATTCTTCCGTTCGCAGCTTCCCACTCGACGATGGTAGCCTCGCAACTTACACCTTCGTTGCTGACGAGGGTGGTTACCAGCCCCAGTCCGACCTGATCCCCGTCGCCCCCCCTCTCCCCGCCCACGTCGTCGAACTCCTGCAGATCGTTGAGCAGCTGCGAGCTCAGGGAGCTAAATGGGACGACCAGGGAACGAGAATCAACTAAACAAGCGACTCTCCTAGACAGATCACGGCTCATGCACGACTACCCTGTTCACCTGTCCATGGACAGTCTGTGTGTAAGCTGACAGTCACCTCTGAGGGACTTCACCCTCTAAATTCACCGAGGACGACCTGTAAATGTACCCCAAATCACGAGATTTTCTCCAAAGTTTTTTTTCCCTACACTATGAGTTCACACTCTACTGAAGGTTCTACGCCTCCGACCCGCGGCTGTGGACGTATCCTCACGTCCACAGCCATACCTATTTAAGACGCGCCTCGCCAAGACGCGCTGCATCCTATTCTCACATCCCATCTTTTAATACATAAGGACACCCCAAGGACACTTCTCGTATGTAAATAGTTAAGGACTACAGCTTCGGGGCATCAACCAGCATTTAAGATCACTGGACACAATCCAATGCTTGTGATCTATATGTAATAAACTCCCTGCAGCCAAA